GTAAATGTTTCCTAGCTAGAATTTTGAATCTTTATCCCTTTCCTAAAATCTTAGTACATTGTTTCCAGGTTTGATTTTAAAATATTTTTGCTCATCTGGAGGCGTGCAGCTTTAATACATTATATATTGTTTACAATTATTACTTTTATAACAACAATTATATTTTTTCATTAGGTAAAGGGCATGTAATGTGATCTGAAGCGCATGTCTGAGTGTTAAAAAGCTTATCCCTAAGACGTTTTTTATGTGTAATGCCACCCTACATTTTCTTATTAATATTTGTATGTGTTTTTTATTTTTTTTTCTATTTTTTATTATATCTTTATATATTTTTATTTTATTTTATAATCTTGCATGCTTGGGAGACTGTTGAATAATATTTTACCAGAAATTAGCTCAAAAATATTAATCTACTTTGAAATATTTAAAGTGAAACAATGCACCAGGATGGTTAACAGGCAGAGATAATAGTCATTTTGGTGTAAAGGCTGACACGGGATCATGAGTTTTGTACATATTCATTCAGTAGCTTGTTGTTTTCCTATGTTATAGCATGATACTCTGTCAGTCTAGTTTATCACTTGGAATAAGTACATGTAATTTACTCTTTAGATGAAAACATTTACAACCCAAAATAACATGCTTTTTGTAATTTAAAGTTTACTTTTAATTTTGTAAGAAGAAGCTAACGGATAATATGAGTTGGACACTTTAAGGCCCTTGAGTATGCCTACAAACCAATTCATATAAAGCCCTACGGATCTCATATGAGCCAACTTAACAAAAGTTGGACATGCCAAGGCCATCAAAACAAAAAACAAAAATAGAGTCCTTTCACATCGCAACCCCATACGAGACATATTCCTAGGAATATTAACGATACCGGACCACCAACTCAACAAATATAGTCATATGAGCCAACTTCATATTGTCTGCGAAGAATGATATAGAATGGAATCAAGAACCCTTTTTACTAAAGCTACCCTAAATAAAAGGCAAAAAGGTATAAAAACGATCTGTTCTATGTCATTTACTCAATCTTACTAATTATGTGTATACATGTATATTTATTTAATATTTCACCAGTTTTGGGATATTCTCAATATTATACAAAATTGAAAAAGAAAACCAATGTTTGGCTAAACTTTCATTCCAAATTCGCCTGTAGAAACCTGGAAAGAATGCTCGTGCATGTCGGTATTGCATACGGAAAATATGTAAAATATGTGTCAGGTATCAGTCCAAGTTGCATAATCTTATTGGTCAGTCAAGTTCATATCATTTATTTTTCTCCATGAAGCATATAATGGTCTCATTGGCCTCCCGTGCATCAAAATTGTACCATCACAAAAATCAACTTGCATATATATTTAGTATCATTCAATGAATTACTGAATTCAAAATTTATAGGTCACCTTTTGGTTGATAGTAACATTTAAGGACATGATTTGTGACATGTCCGGGGTCCGTACTCTCAGTGCCTGAAAGGGCAGATGGACCCTCATTAAGCCAAGAATACATACTTACATACCTTCTCATACTCCCTATTAGGTTTCTGATCGTTCTAACGGGTATGACTGCCCATTCTTGGCCCAACATGGCTACAAACTCTTTTATGGTTCTGGGTTGCACCTGACGAGCTTAAATTCTAATCTACAGCTCTTTTCACATGTGTTCTTTTGGATTTAAGACAGGTGAGCGAGTTGACCAGTCCATGCGCTCAATAGTCTCCCTCTCTAGGTAGTACTATAGCATCCTGACCCTATTGGGGGCGAGCATTATCGTCCATTAGAATGAACTGATCGCCGCTTGCTTCAGCATACAACCTAAACTGGTTGTCTTGGATATCATCTATGTATCGCTTACCTGTCAATGTGCCTCTATTTAGCACAACGAGGACTGTTCGTCCATCCCAGCTGATGCCTACCCACACCATAACTGCCCCCCCCCCTCCCCCTCCGTAGCGGTCATGCTCAGCCATATTTGCAGTCTCGTCTTCTCCAGACTCTAGCACGCCTATCTGTGAAGTCTAGGCAGAACCTGGACTCATCAGTGAACAAAACGTGTCTCCAGTATTGCATGGTCAACCGTGTATCCTCCATGGTCCATTCAAAACGGACCTGACGATGTCGATGCGTCAAGGGGATATGTATGCAATGTCTTCCCGACGGCAAATTACCTTTTACTTACCGTCTGCGTGGAAACACGGACCCCCGCAGCATTACCAAGGTAATTTCGAAGAGAAGTTGCTGTCAAAAACCTTGCACGACGTGCCTGAATAAACAAAAAACGGACCATGAGCTAGTGTGATGATACTTTGGCGACCTCCAGCATGCCTCCTTGCGGGTGTACCATGTAGCCGGTATCTCTCCCAGACTCTGGTGATGACGGTGTGGTGAACCAACCTGGTGGAGGGTGCCCCCCTGCTGCACCATCTCTACAGCCCTACATAAATCTGCTTCTCTCAAATGCCGCATAATAATAGCATTCGCCATATCGAAGTGACAGATGTAAGAAATGTAAGCCACTGAATGACAATAAGCCGGCAATGTCGCCGTATAACAAAATACGAGGCATGTGATTGTACACCCAATCAAAAATATGAAAATATTGGAGTGTATGCTTTCCATGCTACCTAGACGAACGAATTAGTCAACACGGATTCATGTAAGACGACTATCTCAAAATATTGCTGAATCAGAATTTTCAAAAATTGGAAAAATCTGTTTTATACTTGTGATAATGTAAAAATTAACTTATGGTGCTTAGCAAAAATTGAATATCAAAAGTTTATGTTCTTGTTTATGGCACTCAATTTACACACTCGATTATCTACGACTGAAAATGGCAATGTACCCATCTTAGTGCAAATGGTGAGTTTACAGATAAAACTAAAATTGCCATTAATTGTTTTAAATTTTGTTTTCTTCTTCGTGAAACAAACAATTACCCACATTACTCATCAACAATTCTATAGATATACTTCTGAATGTGTGTATCACGTTCAGTTGATAAAAAGAGGGACAGTATCTTTGTATTTCAAGCACTTTTGATATTTCAACATAAATCTATCCTAATACTAATAGTTACTTTTTTGGTCAATGACCATTATAATCATCAATCTGTTGAAATATATATCCAATTAATTAAGCTTGATAACTAAAATGATCAGTTTAAATATATTTGCAAATTTCACATTGTGTTAAGCCTGACGTTTCATTAATTTGAAAACGTGTATCGGACATTTTTCAGCACCGGTGTCGCGTCATTATTACAATCGTGGTCACATTACCACGCGTGTAATTTTTATGCGACACCGGCGTTTTTTACATTCGATTCCCTGAAGCTACAGGAGTGCACACTGTGCAATAAAAGTGTGCATCCTAATATAAAAAAGGCAACGCCTGAAAGCGAGCTTGGTTTACTTTTACCGTGAAAAAGTATAAAATAATCGTTCATTTTCATTTTACATTTTCCGTTTTAAAACTGTAATTCGGTATTTTTTATACACTGATTCCGTTTATTCTGGTTCCCTGTCCTGTTATGGATCCTATAAAAGTGCGCAGGACATCAGTCTACGCATCCGTTTTTAATCAGATTTCCTCGGTTTTTATCGTTATCTTGTAATTCGAAAAGTTGCGATGTGTCAATTCAGTACTTCCGACGAAAGTTTTCAAAACCATCACTAACTAGCAGGCACTCGCATTACCGTAAAGCTCGCTTAGCAAGCAGGCCCTTCGGGTCAGCTCTTCCAGCTCCCTATTAAAACAAGGTTACCGGAATGGTAGCAATGTGAATTAAGTGTTTTGAATTCAAGTTAAGACGGACATCACGCTTGGAGAATGGAAAATGCATTTAATGTCAGCATTTGTTTGTTAATATATTAAATATTAATAATGTTTGAATATGTCCCAGTGTAAATACTCCCAAATCATCTTTTTCTTCTTCCAGTACACTGGCCACCTTCAACTAAATGAAGTTTACTGCCAGGTTAATACGCAAGAGGGAAAGAAAGAGTTGCCGACAACTAAATACTGCTTTATGTAAGGGGAGATAATTCAGATTTACTACCATGCTCATATTAATTAATTTGCTTTTATCACAATTCACGATCTGAAATATATATTTAGGAAACAATCATTCATTGTATTAAATGTTTGACACTACATGTTTTATTTTCAATTACACTATCGCTTTTCTTTCGTTAAAATAAACTTCGTAGTGGTTCGTTTTAAACTGGTTATTTCCGTTAAATTTAGGCTGGTTTGGTTTGCAATCTTACATCGGCAGACCGCTTGCTACAAAGAGCACACAATGAGTCATTTTACAGTTTATATGAGGAAATCGTTCTTACTGCGTTCGCCAGGGAGCAGTGTATATTGCTCAACTTAATCAGAAGTAACTGTTTCTTATACAACTCAACTATAATTGTCCAATGAACATTAAAGGCAAAGTCCGCCCGCTTAGCGCAAAAGAAATAGCTCCGGATAAGTAATCAAGGGGTCCTTGTTCTTTCCTCGGGGTCATTTCTCCGTGACAATTGATTGTGGACATTAAGTCTAACAGGCATGTGTCCGAGGAAATATGTGAGATTAGTGGAAATTTAGTTGTCCAGGAATATCGGCTAAATGGATACACCTCCGAGATATAAACAAAACGTTGTAACAATTGACGTATAGTTCATACAATAAACTGAAGTCAAACATTCATATGAAAACAAAAACATAAAGTAATGCTAATATAATCGACACATGAAAGTTACAACACTTTCTACTAAGTAAATACACTTGTTAGAGCGTATCATTATATATAAAGGTACGCGTATACACGTGAAGATAAATAACAATTACCACATCTATTCATGCTATACTATGCATCTTTTTTTACATCTGTTTCTCATTTCCGGTACTGATCTTTGAGCTAGAAATTAAAATGTTCAGATAAGAAGCGGTAAAATCTTTGTACATGTAGCAACATAGAAACTTTAGATATGCTTAGGGTCAGTGACCATCTACTACATCATAGTAACCACTTTCACCTTGTTGCAATGGAAGTTGCTCCCGAAGACGTTTTTTCATCAATTCTATTTGCTCATTTATCGGCTTTGAAGCATCTACCTGCACTAAATGCTGTTCTAGCATTTGCTTATGACAATCCAAGTCACTGTTTCTAAAACAATGTTTTCCCATTCTTGATACTTTATCAACTACCGCAAATATATCATCAACCATGTCTTTCTTTCTCTCAGGTGAGCATCTTATATTTTCTAATTTAACAATCCTCCCTTTACACATTTTGACTATTTCCTTTAGTTTACCATTCTGGTAGAATTTCTGAAAATCTGCGTCAGACCTGAACCTAGCTGCATTCGTTATTACAATAATTGCGTGTTTCATGACCTGTTGTCCAAAGATAAGACGAAGCATGTCAACAGTTTGCATTATACGTTCGTCCGTCTGTGCGTCTGCTTTAAACACAATTAAAAAAGCGTGAGGCTCTTTACACTCTGTAACTGCATTTTGTATTTCCAATGCACGCTCTGCAAGGACACTGTTTGGCTCAAACATCCCTGGAGAATCCACCAGCCAAACATTAACTGACCCCATATGGATAAAGCAGGTTTCACATCGAGCGGTGCGTGCTCTATTCGCTCCGACAAATATCTCTTTTTCAAGAAGTGTGTTGCATGTTGAGCTTTTCCCGTTTCCATTTTCCCCAACAACTATAAGTTTTCTTATGTATCTATCCATTTGAAAATCTACAAAAATGTGTATATCTTTTGACTAAAACAAATGTCAAATGTTGTATCTAAATCGATATTTTTTTATAAATAAAATGAATATTAAATATTTTTCGAATGTGTATAAGAGTGCATGTTATTAGCAAGGTAAAATTAAAATAACTTATGCACCAAATTAGAAATATTGTAGTAAGATTAATATTTAAAAATTAATTGATTATTTTTTTTAAACTTAATGAATTGAATTTTACCAAACAATCCAAGCGATTTTATTCAAAAACAACTGTGACTGTCTGATCTTATATCTGTGTCCAAGTGAATTAAGTACATTTTTCTGATATATTCCTTGATACTAAATATATTATGCCAAATTTAACCTTTATCACAACGTAAACAAAACTTGCCATAAAAGACATTTTATTTTATTTATTCTTTAAGATTAACGTAATTTACGTTTATCAGCAAATATAATAAAAATGAAGGACTTTAATATAAATTTCAATTTAGCTTACCTCATTGATATGAAGTATCTTGTGTGTTTTTGTGAAGAGGGGTGTGTTATCCTACTTTTGAATATTTGAAACCAGAAATAAATTACAAAAGCAGATGTTCAATACATGATCAGGCAATGTGTTGATATTTTTTTTAAACTTTACTACAACAATCAATACCGCTACATATGTGCTACACAATTTAACTAATATATGTTGATTAAAAGTACCAGCGAGTCTTAAAGGTAAAAACGCAGTTAAGCAATAAAATAATTTATGTTGAATTTAAATATTATTATCAATATGTTTTAAAAAAGCTATATAATATTTTGCTCAACAACATGATATGAATGTCATACTTTTTGATTTACTATAATAGTGATTTTATAAATTGTTGGTTTTCATATCTAATGAGGAAATAAATCCTTTCACAAAGACATATCCTTAAGCAGTGCTTCGGGAGAAACTCAAGTGGTTAATACGGAACAGTTACCTACTGAATAACATAGATGTACAGGTATAATTATATAATACACGTTACTTGTAAGGAATCAACTAGCCATTCTTATAATAATAAATTAATAATCGAATGTTAATATCTCGGTTCATTGTAAAACTAGGAACCTGTACAACGTGACTTTAAGTGCTCTATCCAAATACATATTCAAAATGAATTTGTTATGACATTTTTGATAATGTATTATGTTTATGGGATAAAGTGAAAAGGCGGGCAAATCTAGTATATTACCCTAGCATACGCCAGAAAATGTTCTTGCTCAAAATCGTAAAAGAAATCCGATTTAAAAGCTCTTACGGCTCAAGTTATATTTACTATTACAGAGTATAGTGTTTTAGAATTAATTTACTTCACTTGAAATGAATAATAACATATGATTAAAACCATTATTTGTATTTTGTACAATTAGTTAACATTCAATTTTAGGTTTTGTGTTCTTTCGCCGTATTATGTTAAAGGAAATGCTAAATCAAAAACAAATATAATAATTATGTTCGATTCTTGAAGATCGTTTAGCATAACCGTGTTGTTGTGTGTACATGTTTTTGGTGTTTTAGTTTCTTCTACTTTACCTTTTTAACTTGGACGGTTCCAGTATTCCAACTTGAATACTTTATAACCACCCTAAGGATATGTTGCCTGCTTTTTTAATTTGTCATATGATTTTTTATTTGTTATATACAGTCTTCATAATCTCTTATCCCCTTAACATATTCCATTGTGTTTAGTTTGGCCCATTGTTTTCTCGTTTAGGGTGCACACTTTCTTTAACATGGGGACCATACGCCACTTTTAATGGAATGGCACGAACGTGTCACATTAAAGGTCCCATGATATCAACCTTATGATCTCATCAGCGGATATTTCTAAATTCAGAATTGCACCATTTTCATGTTTAAATGTTGAATTCTGTTTGAGCCGGTGATTAGGGGCTTGGACGGTAACTTGCATTTACCAGTACCGTCCATGAACAGGCTCAATATAACAGAGCCTGCAACATGTTCAATTTTGTTGTTTGGGATTCTGTTTTTACCTTTCTTAAGGGTTTGAGGAAAATATATTTATATTTTGATTCTTTTCAAACTTTAGGTAAATGTAGAACTTTAACATAAATGTATATATTAATATATCTGTTTGTAGCAAAACAAGCTGAAAATAATTAATAAGAATAACGATCGGTATCAAATAGAAACAGCTCTTATTGTCCATACGTTAAAAGAGCGAAAGTATCGTACTTTCGTGTTCTTTTTATGAAGCCGTAGAATTGAAGGCTTGGAAAACGTTTATTTATGTAATCAGACATTAATCTATGTCGAAATCATCCTGAATATTAAGTTCCTCGACCTTTATGCAATACATGTCTACATCTATTCTTGCTTAAAATAGCAATGTCAGTAATTGACAACGTACTTGCCAAACAATTAAGTGAAATCTCTACGATGTATTTACAAACACTTTATGGAATATAACTACAATTTAAAGTTCTGAAGATCAACAAAATACGTATTTGCTATTATAGTAGATGAACAACTATAATAAACATAGGCTCAGTTATTTAAACAAATTTGGCTGATAAACTATTTGGTAGCAATACCCCAGGCAAGTGTCGTTACTAGTTCTATATGAGTGCAAAGATGTAACTTGAAACAATTTTGGACGACCAGGAGCAACAGATGAGTTGTTTTAGACACAGCCGCTGGCAATGCTGCTTACACTAGGCGAAGATATTGTTTACACAGGCTCATTTGTATCATCACACTTATACATATTACGGGTAGAGCTAGACATCATAAAACATTGACATAGCAGGCAGTCAATGTCAACACTGTCCCGCTAAATCAAGCAATAACTCTTCCACTAAACAGAGATACAGAGGGAGTGGCTTAATCTCCCAATTAAACATACCGACGGGATTAAAACAAGTACAGCTGAAATGAAAAAAAAATAAGATACATTAAAATTCTGGAAGTGCATATGTTTTTTATGGTACTTGGATTGGGGGATACTTTTGTTTCAGTGTTTATGTAATTATAATGCTATTCATTCGACTGAGAAGTGAGAAAATTATAACTTGGTTAAAAGCGCTGGAAAATATCAATATTGTCAACACCGGTCGAATGCGAGTGAAAATGTGGGTACCTTTAGCTGGCATAATTTCGTTTTGATTGAACTTATCACTAAAATTAATTAAAAAAATATCATGAAACTATATATACTATAATTTATGTAGTACTCACGGACCTTAGAGATAGGATAGGTTGAGTACGTGAGTATTTGTTTGATTACATTGATTAGCTGTGATTCTGGTTGATTCCTCTAGAAGCAGTCATTGTAGGCAACATTGAATAGGTGAAACTAATCCGTTCATAAGACAGGCATGTTAGTACATCCGGACCAGATAGATAGGTAAGTCATTTACTTATACTGTAAAGGTTCTACATGTATTACAAGGCTGAGAACATGAGACTGTGTGAGATTCTACGGTATATATAAAAGAACAAATTACAGAACGCAGCTTTTAACATGCAAAAGGCAATATACCTGAGAGGCTTGACAAAATTAGAAGAAAATCCCATGTTCTGAAAGGAAATTAATCATTTATGCCCCTGGCAACTTTCCGGTTGTGTTGATAACATTTTATCAATGTTGCAAAAGACAAAATCATTCCTATGCAATAAAAGGCTTCTGCTTGCGCAAAATCTGTTTTATCAAGAGCTATACAAAATAAATGAAATAACTGATGATGATGACGATGATAATCAATTTCATTTATGAAAATGTAAAGACGTATCAGGGGACACGATGAAAGAATAAAAATAAATAGACAGCTTATCAAAATGCAAACTCTTTTGTCAGTTTTACAATACAATAACATATAAACATAGTGAATGAAATTTATTTATTTATTGAATTCTGCAATAAGTGTTAACAAGTTAGTGAAGATTAATTCTTAAAAAAGCTTTAAAAAGTAACTTGACTTTTTCCAGGCGAATTCATGTATAACAACTACATTGTTTCAAAACCATATTAAATATTCGACAAACTGAGTGCTTTATTTTGTGCCAACGTTTTCAAATGATAAGGATTCGGGCGCAAAAAATATAAACATTTTTTAAAGTTTTATTTCATCAAATTGTTAAAATTATAAGTTTCTTTTATTAAGAATTTTAATGAAACGTCGAAAAAAAACAGAAATCAAAACATGATGATTTTCACTAAACTGGCTTTAAAATATATTGATACGTGTCAGGATCATGTCGATTCGGGCATGTGCGTGAGGCGTAGGACATACGCATGCAATGAAGTACATAAGGAACTACACTTAGGTCCAAAATAAAATCTAAATTTTTCTTACATTGATCGGTTGGGGCACTTACAACAACAGATGGAAAGATATTGAAAATCATATTTTTGTGTTATACTTCGCATGATTCGAATTTTAACGCTTTTCAATTTTGGGTAATTTTTCACAATCAGTTTCATTATTACGGAAAAACATAGTGAGCAATTTATCTGAAATCGTATGAATAAGTAATTAGCTCAGACCTACATCTAATGAAACATTAATCTTGAAAAAGTATTCCCAGTTTCTTCATTTAAAATAAAAAACTTCAGTGGATACCTTATAAGAATATATGGTTTAAGATGAGAGAGTATACCTACATGTACACTCGTAGGCTGACAAATTTGACGATACGACATAGTCTAACATTTAATAGGAGATGTACATGTATATATTATCATGCGTTGGGTCACAGTATGTGAACTAACAAAGAGAATAGTCAATACTTCCATCCGGGAGCAAAACACTCAATCGTCATTCGGATAAGACTTCTTTACAATCTTTTTACTTTCCGTATCCGCATTTACATTGCTTGTAAGCATCATTTCCTGTTGGTTTGCCGTGTCGGTCTCCATTTGTTTTTTTTTTTCTCTCTCTCTCTCTGTCTCTTCAAAATAAATTAATATCAGTGAAATCATCGGCTGCTTTGAAAAAAAATTACATTATTTTTATACTTAATGTATTGCTTTAAAGGCAAATAACTACCATTTTGAAGATGAAAGTGGCCTTATGCTCATTTCTTTCGCTGCCAAGCTGAGCTGAATTAGTTATGTATTTCAAGACAATGACCATAATAATTATGATTGACCAATAACTGATAATGAAAAATGTTTTGGGTAGAATTTAAAAAAAGAAAAACTACCTAATTTATGAACAGAATGCTCTAGTCTTTTTTCAAATTAAACGTTACAGATATATTCCGAACAATATTGTTTGAAATGTCAGTGGTTCACATGGATGATTGATTATGTTTGCAAAGGAAAGAAAGAGATATCGATAAAGTGGGTTAATGTGGTAGAAACCACCAAAAGATTCGTTTTCTTTATCAACAAAGTTTGTGTTTACTTCATTAAAACTTTTTTTTTTACTTATTAAAGCGGTCCTCGGTATATGTCTGAGCAAAACGGATGCTTTTATTTTTTTTTGATAACATAATGCTTAATTGTTCACTGCTAGCAATTAAGATCGTTAAATATAGATGTTTGTTAATCAATATTAATTGTTTAAAACCTGTCAAGAGCGCCCAGCTTCAAGATAAATTTAATGGAAATAGTGCTGACTTAATAAACACTATACTACTTAGTGGCTAAAATTATGTTTTGAATCTTCACGCCATGCGATTTTACGAGATAGAATTAAATGATAATTTCATAACAATTTAATCAAATAAATGCTCAAGTAAAATATTATTTTTACCTCTGAACTGTTTAAGCGATCAATAATGTTCACAATTTGTTGTGAAATTATAGGCACCGACGTAACTAAGGGCGTTCGAAAAATAATGCAGTTACTTTGTTTCTCGGCAACTGCTGGTAGTTTTACAATTGCCTTTGGTCTTCCCTTCGAAATATTCCCCACGTACATGAACACACCATCTCAGACGGTCGATCTTCTTTTTGAAGCAGTTTCTCGTACTCCTAGACCTATTAGATACTTATAAATACCAAATCCGAGGGAGTTTCTAGAATTACTGGTATTGAAACAGTATCCGTCGGCTAGTAGTATCCGACAATACGGTTATTTTCGTTTATCGCAACTCTTCAAAATTGAAGGTACGGCTTTTTTCAGAACGCTATCATCAAAGGAAACGCTCGACTGAATTTCTACTATCAGAGGTAAACATTAGATATATTCGTTCTTACCTTTAGATTTTACAATCAGGTGTGTTTATATTTTACGCATGGGGGATTTCACGTGCTACTAATGCGCATGCGCAAAGGATAACTCTATTAGGCCCTAATTAAGACAAGTTTTCCCCCTTTGCCGGCGAAAAACAGACGACTTTTCAAAAGTCGCCAAAAATAATCAAAATCCATAATAATCAATCTATATAAACTAAAAATTAGTATTTTCGTCGTTTTTGACCAACAGATCTGAAAAATAAAATCGAAAAAGGCATAAAATAGGAAAACTGTTGCTCAATTTTTCTAACCAAGGGAGGCAACTCTGTATATCATAGTCTGTACTTGAACAGTAGGTTGTTTCCCGTAAAGAAGGTTATTTTTATTCTGGGGCACCTTATGGGGTGTTTGGAATGATTAACAAAAATAAATTATAAAATAAAAACGGAGTCAATTTGAATTTGATCTTTAATATTTGTCATGCCGATTTTACTCACCATATGTTAAAAAGTAATTTATTCTTTTTTTATAGATGCCAAAAAAATACAATGATGACGATCTTATGCAAGCCGTGTCGGCTGTTAAAAGAAAACAATTATCAATATCTAAGGCTGCATGAGAATTTAATGTGCCAAGAACAACCGTGCATGACCACGTGAAAAATCCGGTTGTTAGGACGAAAAAGGGCACAGAAAAGCAACTGACAAATGAGGAGACGGGTGGATTGGTAAATTTTGTATTGTACATGGCTGGACAGGGGTTTCCTCTTACAAGAAGGATGGTGAGATGCTATGTCCAGGAAATTGTGAAACGTTCAGGTATGTAATTTCAAACCTAGTTGTTTGAACATTAACATATTCCTACATTCAGGTGGAACTAAATATGTCCCCATTAGAATGATCAAAATAACTCTTTTTTTTCTCATAACAATATCAGTTGCTATAGTGTCTCACACATATCAAATCAAATTATCATTTCAATGAAATATATATGTATATAATTATAAGGACTAATGAAATCTTATATATAACATAACATAATTTTCTTTATGAAAATCCGAGATATAGCCCATATAGTCAAAAGAATGTTTTTTAATGTTTCATTACAGGACGCAGTAATTTTTGTTTCTTTCAGCTTTTGCCGACTATTCTGACTATTCTATATCCGTTTTGGGGCAGCTTTATTTAAATAATATATTAAAATATACCGACTAAACTTAATATATTGTAAAGAAGTATTTAAGAGACTTAGCGGATTTAAATCAACGTACTGCAATCACGTTTATCGTTGTTATTGTAATAAAACAATATTTTTTTAAAGGTGTACAACTGTGATGAGACCGGGGTGGTCGGGCAAAGAGTGTGAAGAGAGGGGTTATAGGGCCAAAGTCTGGTCATGTATTTCAAAAGAATAACATTACAATGACCATGTAACTTGCGTGACATAGCGCATTTTGTGTGTGTCAGCCGATGGGAGTTTTATACTACCATGGTCCCCCCATATTTTAAAAGGTGGTTTCCGCACCGGAACTACAAAGATGGTCTACCAGGTAAAAATCTTTAACAATATATATCTTAAAATATCTATATTGTAGCTTGCACTTCATTTTTAATACACAATATATAATACTAATGTGTTACCAGATGTATCGACGGAGTGTTTTTTATCCTTTAATATTAAGCTCATGATGACATACAATGTTTCGTGTTCATGTAAAAATCATAAAAGCCATTTATAAAAAAAGGTAAGTAACTTATTTTTGTTAATTGATTTTACACCTACATTATATTTAATATTTTTCACGCATTTTCCTTCAGGTTCATGTCTTTTTAGTTCCTCTGATAGTGGGTATATGGATACGGAACTATTTCTTCAGTTGTTTTGTGAAAGCATTCGTAAAGCCGTCCAGTGATTCTTTTGATGGATAACAGAGTCTCACATATCATTACCATTAGTGGAGGCTGCTAAAAAGAGAATGTGGTACTTGTAGGACTGCCGTCTCATACCTCACATTATCTACAGCCTTTGGATGTGAAGTAATAGGGCCTTTGAAAGACAAGGTATCAAGGCCTTGCGTCAAGCGTCAGCTTTTTCACGTCCTGGCTGTAGCATCGGCAAGTCACGTTGCCTGTACTATTAAGCTATGCCATAGACAGACAGCCCCCAGCACTGTTAAGGATGCATTTAGATTGGCTGGTATAATGCCAGTCAATCCAGATGCAATTGACACCAGTCAGCTGGTACCCCCGTCTTTCCCTGTGGAAGAACGAGTAGATAATCCAACCATTACATGTGAGACATGTGGGCAGTCTATTGGACAAAAACCACTGGTGAAAAGAGGTGTGGTTCCTGCCCTTTGGCCGATATATTGGTACCACTACCTGCAAAACCAATGCCTCAAAAGAAGAGACCCAGCAAGGCTGTGACAAGTGCTCGAGTTCTATCTGGAGATGAAATACTTGAAATATTAAAGGTATACTTTTAAATAATTTTTTTTTTCATATATGCGTTTATTTAAGGTCGCCGCCGGAAAGCCCATATGGGCGACCGTACACTCAAGTCGGGCCATCCTAGAGCGTCCCGCCGATATTTTTTCGTCGATTTTTTTCCAGCTTTATTGGTGGAGGAAGACGCAGGTGCCCCTCTGGGCATTATTTCAGGCACGAGCCGGCACCAAGTTAGAACCACCGACCTTCCGTAAGCCAGCTGGATGGCTTCCTCACATGAAAGATTTCGACCCGAGTGAGGATCGAACCTACAGTGGTGAGGGACCTGTGATCTCAAGTCAGCGACCTTAACCACTCGGCCACGGCGGCCCCCTTCAAATATTATATTTACCAATACAGATTTATAGTAAATGATGTGTAGAATTTTGTTAAATTCCAGTCATCTTTTATAACAGTGTATTATAATTATGTTGTTTAAATCACATGCTTCTTTTTATATTATTATAAATTTAAGACCCACATATTTGGGTTTTAAAATGAAAATGTAATTAGTTTGACTTTTTGAATTTCCAATAATTGCAGGAACGTGAAGATGCAGAAGTGAAAAGACTGGAGGAGAAGAAGCAGAGAGAAGAAGATAGGGAGATGAAGCGGAAACAGAAGATAGCTGAAGATGAGCTGAAAGCAGCAAAGAAACAGAAAAGAGAGACAGAGAAAAATGAAAGGGAGCAAGAGAAGTTAAGAGAAAGAGAGAGGAAGGAGAAATTTGGAAAGTTAGCTGATAGGAAGTATACGTGTGGTGTGTGTGGTGTTAGAGGAAGAGTGTTTGATGAGCAAAATGGTGTTGAGTGGTATGGATGTGATAATGATTTGTGAGTTAAAACTGGTTGGTATCATTTCGAATGTTTGAGTGAGAGCGAGAAGAAACTTCTAAGAGAGAGTTTGGATGAAGATGATGTGCAGTGGTACTGCAAAGCATGCTTCCCACGTTTCTATGAGGAAGAATGATAAACACAATATATGAAAAACTGAGAACAAAATAATAAACTTTATTTCACTTGTTTAATATAAAACGGCAAGTTTATGCTTAAAGTATGTTGGATATTTTTATTCATGTTCTGTTACAAATTGAATTTTTTTCTTTTTATATGTGTTGCAGATAACATTTATGCAGAAAGAATTTATTTAGATAGATATTTCGTACTTGTAAATTAATGTGTTATTCATGAATACAATAAAGTTACACTCAGGGTACTAACATACAAAATACGGCCGTGGAAAGTAGTTAGTCTTGTTTCAATGAACATGAGTGAAAATGAATAACAAGTATTCTTTTTCTTATGCATACATGTATCCGTATTTAAATTTTCTCATCTCACATTATAAAAGTAATGAAATACTAAATCATTTCCAAATAATAAACATATTTTTCTGAATGTGACCCGGAATTGTCGACGACCCGGAACTGTCGAGTTCACTGTAATACGTAATGATATTGTCGGCGAAAAATCACTGCATATGTAATATTTAATCTCATCAGAATTTCTGAATATTTCATATTAAACCCCTATATAAAATAACACTATTTGCCTAATTAGGTCTTCAAAAAGTCTTATAATAAAATAAATATAGATACCGATTTAAAAACCCGCAAAATCAACGATTAAAAAAATGTGTCGGAAACTGCTTCTTTAGCGCGTCAATTAAGGTTAATTTACACCTCCCGTTGGAGCCCCTTTTGTAATGCGATGCGTTCTTTAGAAATCCGGTTTTTATTTACAATAACAAAGCGTGACCTGTACTTAGTCATATCAAAAGTTTATTTAAATTGGAGACGTGGTATTTGGGAAAAATTTAAATAACCTCAAATTTTTATCGGAAATTGCTTCGATACCAGTATATCTCTGTCGAGATAGATGATATTTCAGTTTTAGAAACAGAAAATAATCGCAAGGGCAATATCTGGGGAGTAAAAGTGTTAAGGGAGGACTTTAACCTTCTCTTATTCCAAACATTCAGTCACGATGCGTGCCTTATATGCTGGTGCGATCTTGTGCAGGAGTCTGAGGTGCTTGAGTCCTATTTTGGGGCTGCGGATTTGGAAGTTCTTCAATTTTCTTAGTCTATAAAACTTTGCTGTAAGAAAGTTTTTGCAGCCCTTTTTTAAATTTTGCCGTGCTGAAAGACATTTGATCCTCCCGATAAGATCGTACACCTCTCTGTGAATATCTGTACATCGACCTACCTTTTATGTAGGCCCTTATTTCGAGCACATTTTGTATGCAGTCTAAAGAGTAGGCTTTGTAATAACGTGTACTGTACCGAGGTCGGTGAAGTTATGAGAGAGATATTTTGCTATGTTACGGACAAGTAGTTACTGTATCGACATGTGGGATCACCTTGTTTCCAGAATTTTGTACTTCACAACCGCAGGTGTCAAGTGCCGTGTGGCAGCCGTAAAAAGTTGCCCCGTACTTCACTTCAGTGTTGTTATATTTTCTGGTCCTTCGGGATCATTGATGCCAACACAATAAAGTGTTGAGAATTGAGTACCGCTCAAGCCGGTGCTAGGGGCCGTGAGAAATGTTGCACTTATTCATTATCCCTCATGTACAGACTCAATCAAACCGAGTCTGCAATTCTTATGTTATTTTGTTGTGATTAATGCTTCCGAGAGATCACTTTGTTTCCAGAATTTTCACTTTATGCGAGATAAAGTTTCACTTGCATTATTTTTCGAACACCCCTCCTAACAACAAACATGGTTAAAAATATCACACTTAACTTCACAAAATACATCTTCCTATAAAAGTAGTTTTATTTTATCAATAAAATTCTTACATTATCTGATAATGGAGACGAATCACGTCATGAGTTATGAAAATAAGTACACAGCAATACTTGATAGTATGCGTCCATTAGTACAGTCTCAGTTATGACCCTGTTATAGTTCAGTTCAATACGCCTCGTGAAAAGTTTTTCTCAAGATATTATTACTTACACACCAGAACGAAAAGTGCTTCAAATTTTTTCTTTGTAAAATAACCTATATCGACATATTGTTTAACCAAGTGGCCACAAAACAATGCTGTGAATAGAATATTGACTGTTATAGAACTATAGATGAAAGCCATCTACATTTCATTGTTATCCATGATAAAAGCGTATTTTTTTATATTTGTGTTCCCTTTTTAATTTGTTACGCGAACACATTTGATTAACCTGTCCAACGCGAAAAAATACACTTATCTCTGACAAAAATTATCAGTGCACTGTGTTTCCATTTAATATACAACATCTATAAAACCATTATATATTAGAACAGTTTCTAAATCACTACACGTTATATTGAAGCAAAATGAATATAATGTTTTTCTATCGAGAAAATCTTTTGTAAAATTCCAACCAAGCCGACGAAATCCAATATTATATATAATTCACGGTGGCAGATAACGTTTGTAATAGTAATTTATACTTTTTGTTGAAGTTCCTTCCCTTGTCGGTATTTCCGTTCAAACAGTTTAACAGCTTTTATATGTAGAATGGTTAAAAAGACTTTTAGTAAAAAGCTTAAACTGTGTTGAGTTACCTCATAATAAGATATTTAAGTTTAAAAATATGGTACTGCATTTATAAAGAAAGCATAATATAAACACAAGTTTTGTCAACCAAATATCTTTCTCGGTATAAATATGGTTATATGAAGGGTGTATAATTTCTTATGTACTAGATATGAGTTTGGATGTGTTAGTTAAAAAAAATTAAGTAAACATTTTATGGTGCTTGAAAAGGAAAGGAATAATATGTAAATATCCGCATTTTTTAAGCAGTATTGTTTGATTTTAAGAATATAAACTTTATGTATTTATTTTGTTTGTTTATTACTCTCAATGTATTACAATTGACTTTTATAATGTGTTGCTATAATTCTGGACTGAATAAAATGTATTATATAATAAAAGAGAAGAGACTATTTGAACATTACTGTTTAAAACTTCGGTTAAAATATCGTTTTAGTAATTAGTGCACGATTTATATTCATGGTTTTTAAAACCCTTAAGGATGTGGTATGAGATTAAGGAGATTTGTTTATACCTTTCGTTGATGTTTGAATAAGAATTTGTATTTCCTGTCCAAAAGTAGTTTTTATGACAATAAATTGCAAATACCGGACAAACAAACTCCTTTATGATAGCAGAAAATTTTAGATTACATAAAACTTAACATGAGGTTGTTTAAATATTGTCTCTGATAATTTATAAGTATGGTAAAGTAGCCTGCCTCAAGATTTATGCTAATTTTCATATGAAGTTAAACGAAAAGAAGTATGAAGTGAGCAAAGAAAGAAATTTACGTATGCAATTTACGAGAATTACTAGAAAAGAGGAAAAAATATGCCAAAAACGGCCATAACTGAGATAGTCACGCAGTAGAAATGTTTCGATGAATACTGCAAAACAATCATTAAACAAATACATTATGGTTAATGAATATCTAGATCGGTGAGTAAGATGTCGAGGAGGGTGTTAAACCTTTACAACGGTGATCCGTATGTTGAAATAAAGGCAGTAACTAGTACACAAAATCAAGTACGATTCAGTACATATGCACTGTTCAAGGTAGATTATTTTAATATTGTCTGATGATGTTTTACCTGAACAGTTTGAGCGTCCGCGGTCAAGTGGTTAAGGTCGTTGACTTCTACTAATCAATTGCTCTAAGCGCTTTGAGTTCGAATTTTGACAGGGACTTTGATGTTTTCATGTAAAGAAGCTATCAAGCTAGCTTACGGGACGTTGGTACTTCAACTCAGGTGCCCGTTCATCCCTGATATAATGCACCGGCATCTGACGACTTTCTTCAACAGGTAAGCTCAAATGTCGCCATATGACCTATACCGTGTCGGTGTGACGTAAAACCCAATCAAACAAACTTTAATAACGAAATCAAGTCGATAAGAAAATATACGAAAGACCGCTGGGAATATTTCAACTTTATGAATTCCCGACTTCATCTTCATGAGTTGACATTTTTACCACGTAAATTCATGGTTTCAACATAGGGAATTCACGAAGTCACGACTTCAACTTCATGAACTCACGATTTAAACTTCACGAATTCACAATTTCAATTTCAAATTTTGAATTTCACGATTTAAATTTTGTGATTTCAAGATTTCAACTTCACGAATTCAAGGGTTTCAACTTCACAAATTTACAAATTTCATCTTCTTAAGTTCAACATGATGAATCCTTGTTTTAAATTTAACTATTTCAATTTAAGGATTTAAAGATCCAAAATCGCGAAGTTCAAAATGTGAATTCATGAAATTGCATTTGTGAATTCATGAAGTGGGAATCTGGAATTCGTGAAGTGGAAATCGTAAATTCTTTTAGCTAAAATCTTGAATTCAAGAAGTTAAACTCTTGAATTCAAGAAGTTAAACTCTTGAATTCAAGAAGATGAAATCGTGAATTCGTGATTTATATATGTTATGTTTAAAGTCGTACATTCATTAAGTTTAAAATGTGAATTCTGAAAATAAACCCGAGAATTCAAAGGTTATAATATTACAATGGACTTTCGTAGACATGTATTTAAATCGCATGGATAATGTTTGAAGGTTATGATTGCTTAAAGTAAAATTGTATTCTATAAATTTTAGCTTGCTTAAAGTGGTGTTATAAACATATTATGATTTCAATGCACATTGTCCTTTGACATATTGATATGAATATTTATCATGTTTAGTGATTAACTTTGGAATACTGTTTGATATCTTACAACAGCTACCTTTTTACCGGTATATCAGTGAAGGCCAGATATTTGATTCACCTTTGTTCAGGTATAAACATTTTTAATATGCCATTTATGACAGTAAATTAAGTACAAAAACAATCTTGCTTTACAAATGCTTTTATTACACACTCACATCAAAACAAATATAATTTTGAATAAAACGTCTGACTAAATAATGATACAAATAGAAAAAAGAATGTATTTGACTCTTGATAATCTGATAATGTAAAAGAAGAAAAAGCAATTTATACTTATGTTTGTGATTCGCCACCTTTGTTTAAGTTTGATAAATGTTTCCTTTACAAAAACATAGTTTTCTAAATTGGAATGGTTTTGAACCAAACCGATCCCTGAATATCAAAGCGGCATTTGGAAATTTTAACAACGACAAGTGTCTAGAATAAATCACCAACTTGTTGCATGGTTTTATTTCAGAATTATGTTACCAAAAGTCAAGTACCTGTAAAACAAACATTCAATTGAAATTTGTCTTTACAAAAAATTTCTTAAGAAAATAATAAATTTTCTATAGCCATAGATTAATAAAACATAATAATATATCCCCGTACTGCCTCTTTCCGATCAGCTAACATATTTTTCTATAATAACTGACAGTGAAATTATAAAAATAAAATTTCTCTTACAATTCTGCAAATATTATCATTTCAGCTAATAAATGCAACAACTTTTTAAAATTTTACCTGAATTATTATTATGAATCGTGGACGAATCATTACTGACCAATTTTCTTGTTCTTCAAAATTTCACAACCACTTTTCAATCAGTTAACAAAATATAAACTGTACCACATAAAAATTGTCATACAATGTTAAAATATAACCAGTTATGTATTTTGAAGAAATTTTGACAAACTCAACTTCAGATAAATGGTAATAAACAATTTTAACCTAATTAAAATGCCATTTTTCAATCTAGATATCTATTTGCAGTGGTAAAGCTGTCACAATTGGGGTATGGATGTACATTTCAATTTGCATAACAGAAAAAGCATGTTCTTGTGAAATTTTTAGGATCTTAGGGTCTATATGACCCCATTCTAGTGACTCCTTACTGAAAAGTTATCACAGAGAATGTTTTTCCTTGGTTAAGTGGCTGTTACTTTACTGATGTATTACCTTCCAATTAAGAACTGTATGGTAAAATAAGTACATATTAAAATTACAGCTTTTGAAGTGTAGCAAACATAATGACTTCATGATATTGAAACAGTTGTCCAACTTAATATCCATTTCTGCAGACTGACAAAACACTGAGTCTGTAAATCAATTATTTTTAGAAAATTATTGCGATTTGTAACTGGGTAAATAAAGGATAAGTGGAAAACACACATTTTACATATTTTGAACTAAAATGCTAGCATTTTCTTTTTTATCGCCATAATTGACATTGCTGCTGATAAATTTAGTCAAGGTGAATACAAGATGTGCTTACAGTTTGGTTACATGACAAATAAGGTCAAAAATAAAAAAATTCGAGGGATGATTGAAAAGTGGTTGTGATTGAAAACTGGCAGTATGTGGATAGTATAGATATATACAACCGGTTAATTGTACGAAATCAAACAAAACATACAGAACATAATAATCAAGGTATTTTCGTCCATGACATTTAGAAATGATTCATTTTATTGAAACTGTGATTAAAATTACGAAATATAATGCGCATTTTGTAAACATTGTTTTATGAATAAAGCAACTTCATCGTCGCTTTTCTCCCAAAATCAAAGTTTATATATAAATCTATCTATAATAAGATGCTCGTAAAATGATTATTTATATTTGCGCTGTCGATTGCATTTATCTTGTTCGGCTCAACTCGCATGATTTACTGTTAGTGTAACAAAATATTCTTATACTACTAAGACACAAATTTCACTTTACATTATCTTTTGCTTTTATAATCTAAAATAAATAAATTCAGAACTCTACTTACTTTGTAGGCAAACAATATGTTTACCTTTTATTGAAAACAATTTTCAGCTTTTCATGCCACTCTGTCATTTGTAGGTCAATGTTCAGATGTAAATATCTTAGTTTCTAACTTAAAATTCGGTTAACAAACTTATTTTTTATACTGAAGATGAAACTTACATATCGAACATTAAATTAAATAGGCATTTTTTTTAAGAAAATGTTGCTTTTAACGGTGTTAAGTCTTTAACACTTAATCAAAAATAGATTATAAAAATATAATCTTATCTTTGAGGAAGAAAAAACAGAATTAAATGTACGCAAATATATACAACTTCAGATGCAATTGATAACAGAAGTCGGAAGGGTCTATTCTAAGTGAGTACAGAAGGAAACGGGTCATTAGACCTTGGAATTAACTGATAATTCATTGAAAATGTTTATAAGAACATCATTCAATTGAAATGGAAACAAAAATTTAACGTACAAATTTAAAACTAATACATCACTTTTTGGTAAAATCTTTTATTTCAACAAAAATTTAAGCAAAGCACTTCAAAACATACATGGTAGATGTAATACTACATGTAAATAGATGAATATTTTAATCCACTGTATAGCCCTAAACATCGGTTATTTACGATAATTTAAAAGAAAGTATGCCACAGTTCAATAAATAATCATTTTGATAAGCATAATTATTGTAATATAAACAAAGTAAGTTAAATGTATTACATGTATTATGTGTTTAAATGCATTATATTATGATGCACGCCGCGAACTGACAATAAACTTTAATTATAATTACTGTGCATAAAAACAGCTTTTTGTCAGATAATTCATTATCACAACATTGTTTGACTGTTATGAGAAATGTCCAAAGTAAAAATCGTATCAAAAGATGAAAATATTGAAAAATTAAAAAGACATGGAAAAAGAACTGTTAATACAATCAAAACAACTTATCAAACCATAAAATACAGAGATAAATGGATCAAAGCACATGCAAGCTCGCTAACTACCAAGTGATAACTAAGTACTATACCATAAATTCTTTCTAATATGTGTCAATATTCCTATTTTGGCACTTTTGTTTAAGACTTGTGCGACTTTACAATACCTTAAAGCGCGCATACTGCTTATTCAAAAAGTGCCCCCAACTTTAGTTGTAACTGTTATGGAAATGCCGCTCAGCATACGTTTAAGACTGTTGGATGCCGAAGTCTTTTTTCTCTCGACATTTTCTTTTTCTGCTTTGAAATTATCTAGCTTTTTTGCAAACTGAGCTTTTTCTTTACAGATTTTTAGCTCATCAATTCTCTCTTTAAAGCCCGTTCTCTTTTCCATTTCTTCCGACTTTATCATCAACTCAATGTGTTCTTCTATTGTAAGCGAATTTGGTCGAAGTGCAATTCTTTGAAGTTCGTTGTTGCATGTGTTGACAATTGATAGTAAGTGCTCTATGCCTTCCTCAAGTTTCTGAAGGTTTTGATCAAGTTCAGCTATGACCTGTTGCAGTGACAATGATATTCCCAGTGCCATTTCAAGTGCTTCTTTTACATCAAGAAAGGTCATTTTTACAGGCTTTCTTTCCAAGTAAAATATATATGGAGCATTCTGATGGGAATTCCAGTAGCACTTTTGCGGGCATTGCTCACAGTAACCATTTGAATCCATTGCCCAGCAGCCACGTTTTTTAGCATCATTCCTTATTCCACATATTCCATGGCAAGTAAACTTGCATACTCGACAGTTAGTGACATTTTGGCCAGGTGGCAGATATTTGTAGTTTTTGATAGTCTTAGTAGTTTCATATTCAAAGTCTTTGTGCGATTCAATAGTCTTTTCATTGTCTTCAAGCATCTTTATTTCTCGTCTCTGTTTATTGAGTTCTTCTAAACCATAATCAATCATAAGTAATAGACAATCAATGGTAAGTTCTAACCGTTTCCTTTCATCCAAAACCTTCTTTGTCAGTTCAAGGCTTGTAGTCTGAAGTGTGACCAAATGTTTAAAGAACAAACCGAAGGCGTCAATGCCCATCTTCCAAAACAAATATTTGATACCAGTCTTGTCTGAATCATTATTTTCAGCAAAAAGCCCCGAATTATTTAATGTAAAGGAATATTCCCCAAACGGTAAACCAGATGATTTAATGGACGACAGAGCAGGGGCAGATCTGCCGTCAGCAAATGTTAGCAGTGTGCACATGTTGTTTTTTATATCTTTACCAAATAGAGCCATTATAGACTCAAAAATATATCTTTGAGTAGATGTTAAACGTGCATCAGGTGCTTTAATCAAGAAACATACAGCATCGAGTCCTACAATACCTTTCTCACCATTCAATGAGAAAAGCTCATGGATTTGTTCAACCAAGAAATTGTCCCTCTTCATTCCTCTCGTGTCGCCAAAACCAGGGGTGTCGATAATGTTTAACGTATACGGTATCCTTCCGCCATCATGTTGGTAGATTGTGTAGCACGTGATCCAGTCAGTCTGCGACTCTGCCTGAAATGTTTTCGAAAATATTTAATAATCAGTAAGACATTTTCAAGGCTAATTTGAAAAAAGTATTTGATAAATTATTTGACTTTAATATTTACATAATTATCATTATAAATTTTGAATATTGTTCCTGCTAATTATTACTTTTTCCATGAAAGAACAAATCAACAAAACAATCTGGTAACAGGAAATAAAAATTATTATTAAATAGAATGTAATTTAAGGTATAAAATTTTTATTATGAATTATTTATGTCGAGTAAATGAGTGTTCTTTTAAAAAAGTGCAATTAATGTAGCAAATATAATGTTTTGAACTAAATATATACTTCTGATGATGTCATTTGAATCATCATCATCATCATCATCATCATCTTCGTCGTCGTCGTCTGCATCATCATCATCATCATCATCATCGTCATCATCATCAATATAATAATTATTATTCAAAATCCTTTATTGTGAAGTTCAAAATAAATACACTTACTGATTCCTAAGATATTCAAGTAAGTAAGCAAATGCGAATGTCTCTTTGTTTGTGTGAAGTTATTCAGAGAAAATTGTACAATGTTTGAAGTAAGAACTTGATTTTGTATAGTTGACTAAATTAATTTACGTTCCTTAATATTCATTTAATTTCTTTTTTAATATTTGTTTTTCTTTTACTTTACAATGTAGGTGGTATAAAACGTTATCGATCAAACTTGCTTGCTGGTGACTCATTGCCTTTATATTAAAAATCCACTTTAAAAAACGGTTTGTTCCACGGAAATTCAAAAACATATGCACTTAAGTAAAAAGATGAAATGCGTAAGAATACAGTATATATTTAAGAAACAAGCCCTCATATATCTATTCACATATTATGTAAATGCAGGAATTTGTTTAAATTTTTAGAGTCCAAAATCCTCGGAGCTTAGTGTTCTATTTTTGAGTGTCAAAATCCATATCAAATCATTATTGTCATTTAAATAACAATGTTTCGTTTGATTCTTAAACAGCTTCAAAACCTATACCAGACTCGGCTAGGACATCGCTCAATACACAAGTAGTTTTGGCAGTTGTGTAATTGTCCAATAGAATTCAGTATTGTACTCAACAATGTATCATAACCTCATAATATCAGGTCTTGTTCGTTCGCTAATTCATACTAGAGTGATAACTATCGCTATATCAGCATAGCGCGTAAGGCAAGATGCCCTAAAACAATACAGTTTTGCACGCCAAAATGAGATACATTTCAACATATATTAATGTCCAAAGAAAATGGTTCACAAACCTGATTCCCGGCTTTTATTTTCTCATCATTTTCAAGCTGAACAACTTTAAACCGAAAAGAATCTTCCCATCTTACTCCTAAAACGTAGTTAGTAATTCCATCTATCATCGTACTTTTTCCGGTACCAGTTTCTCCAACTAATAGTATTGTCTTCTCGTGAATTTGTTGTTTACCTGTACCTTTTAGACGAATGCCTTTTATAAAGAACATGGTGTAAATAACATTAATAGTTTCATAGATATTGTTCAAACTAAATACATAATTCTAAATGCATGCAAATATTCTAAGAATTTCAATTACCCAAAAATCGTTTTACAATATGCATAATTACATATATTGTGCATGCTACTAATTCGTAAGATAAGAAGTTTTTAATAATACAATTCCATGAACAGTAAAATATTTAACTGTAAGAAACCGTTATACTCATAACCTTTTTGCTGTATTATATGATGTCACTTTCAGTGTCATTATGATTCTCCAACTATTTTAGTATAATATTATTCTTCAGCATAAAAACAGCAAAAAATCTCATCTATTTTCACTGTCAAAGAAACAAAAATTACCTATTTCAACTTTCTTTGTTTTAGCCTTTTCATTTCTTGACTGTTTCACGTCGTTGCAGCGAAGTAGCCTGATGCTTGGAGTTTTTGAATCTTCAATCACTTTATCGTACGGAATATTTTCTGCCGGAGATTTACTTGTCGTGACAACCTCACTTTGATCGCTGTTTGGACTTTCATCGTCGCCGCAAATTGCCTTAACGCGAAAAACATATTTGGTGTCTGGTATAAGATCTCCAAGCCTCACTTCATTGTGTTCGCATTCCCTTGGATATGTTCTCCACTTTGAGGGCTCCTCATTTAGAATTTTATAACTTACCTGATAATAGTCACATTTTTTGACAGTATTCCATGCGAGATTAACGCTGTCGACAGATGTTGATAGAACTTTTGGTTTTGAAGGTTTTTCTGAAGACTATATGAATATAAAATTGTTGTATCTTGATTTTAATGTTTATCAGTTCATTAGACTAAATATTATAGCAATTGCAATGTCACAAACAAGAATATCGTTTTAGGTAATGAATACCCCTCGCACCTGCAAAATTACATATTAGCAGATACAGTGCTCCCAGTTATTTTTTATCACCAATGATTATTAGGGGACAGCCAAAGTATATATAAAATAAAAGACACCAGTCATGAAAGCAAAACTGTATCAGACTGGTTACCTTGACCCAAATGGCATTTCTCATCGTAATAAGCAAGACATTAACCTTCTAAATAAAAATACATTGGTCAAAAATATAGGCTGTGTAAGAAAGAAATGTCGGACAGTCAAAACTTTACCAAAGGTTAGCGGAGCACACAAAGCATCTACCTTCTAGATGTTAAAGTCATGAAAAATAAACCAAAAGCTTCATATGCAAACGTAAGCACCAGTGAAATTGATCTTGTCTCTATCACTGTGTGAAGTTTGACACTGCATCAAATCCTTTTACTAGTTTTTACAACTGTGTTGAGTTTCAATTGGGTATATCTTTACTCAAGACGAGCATTTTATTAACTGTCATAAAGTGAGGTAAGTAAAAATTAAGTTCTGCATATCCTGTTACTGATCTCACCTTGTGAAACTTTTAAATTAGTCAAAATTTCTTCAATCTTCATTCTATTTTTGACAAGCATTTTCGAATATTATAAAAAAAATATTCAGAAACTGAAAAAAATGTTATACTGCAGTTAATAATTTGCCAGTATGAAACATATATTAAGTTACCCATTTCTTCAAAAATGTCATTTAAGCTCCGTTTAAGATCAATAGGAGAGATTTACAACCACGTCACTGATATTTGCTGTGTGAACTACGTATACACACAATCAGAGAAGGTCGTACATTCACATGTAAACAATGGTAGCATTTTCTGTAAAGTTAACGAAAATGATGTTCCTGCGGCAAAGTTTTAAAGATCAGAATTATCTGAACATATCTATTTTTGTAATATTCAAAATGAAAAAAATATATACAAAACTATTCTCTAAATTGTATTGAAATATATATAAGATATTGTGATGTTATAAAGGGTTAAATTTTACTTAACATCTACATGTACTTTAATATTTTGTCTATACCAATCTTGTAACAACTCGCTATGTGTGTTCTATGAATTACCATTTTTATGTGAAATATGCCTGCTAATTGCTCAGTTTTGTTTCATTTTCATTTTCCATTTTTTTCACCAAGTCAATGTAAATATGTTTTATGATTCAAGGGTATTATAGTTTCGCCATTGTTAAATGTATGCTTAAGACCAAAAACTGAGTGTTGTTAACATAAATATAATTTAAAACTTTATGCTTAGTTCGTGTTCAGTTTTAAGTATTAAACAAGTTAAGCCGTACGCCTACAGATGGTAAAATGTAACAAAAATAATGAAATTTAGGTAATGGTAATACTGTACAGTACTTGTTTTTTTTTTTTGTGTAGATCTACCTTTACTGAGTTCTTAATTTATTTAAAAAGTTGACAAAATTAAACATGTTTACAGCAGCCAATATAAAAAAGAAAAGGCAATGTATTACTCAAAATAGTAATGTGTCACATCTGTGGTTGGAAAAAAATCCGGGATCAGGTAGATATGATGAAATCCGTGAATTTATTTCAGAATACTAGTACACCTCGAAAACTATATCATGGCATTATATATTTGATGTAGTTGACTAATTATAACTTTTAAAGGCGACACATTATAACAAATATCTAAACAATGTCTTTATAATAGTTCGAATATTTCTTTTGCCTACAGTTTTTATAATTGTCTGAAGATTTCTTTTCCCTACAGTTTTATTTATTTTCAATAAAAAAAATAAATAAATAGGAAATATGAGATAGGAAAGATTGTTTTGTTTATATAATTTTGTAGTCAGTACCTTTAAATTTCTTAATAGAATTGCATGGTTTCATACATTAATTAAACATAATAGCCTATATTTTCCCAGTCACTTTGCAAGCTTAATGTTAATGCTTTACTATAATGTTTTTTTTTAATCATCAGTCCTGTTTTATTCGCGATGAATTAAAGTTAAGATGAATTAAATATGCGGTTTTCTTTGCTCATTTAAAAAATGATGACAGTCTATTGACAATATTTCTAAGCAAGTTCGTTTCCCATATAATGTCTTTATTATAAATTAACAGTTAACTCAACATTTTGTTAATCATTTCTTTATTCATGAACCATTTAACTGATATTTTCTTAAATTTATGATAATACAATCATTTTTCTATTCGGGGACTTGATGCTTTAGCATCAAAACCTCTACTTAATTGAAACATAGCTCATATTTATTTCTTAATAGACATACACACCATAGTTTTCTTATGTAAAAACTTGCTGCATTAGTCACACAGTAGAAATTTGGAAAAACAACATGAAAAGGCAGTCATTTATTGCACATAATTTGAAATTTTTTAACTGAATTTTGAATCTGTTTGTGTTTCTTTTTTTAAAAAATCTTTTAACGTTTATCTCCTGTTTGATTTTCAATAAAAACTTTCACTGCGGCACATACAAACTGTTAGCTCTTAAAAACTCTGTGAAACTGCATGGATTTGGTCTACATCAGTATAACTGTCAATCACTTGTCCTAAGGCTTAAGCCAAGGGAAGTCGTAGTCCTCCACACTGTCCATGTTACTTTCTCCGTCCGGAAAATAGTAACCACTGCGGATGATCACGTGACCAAAATTGTACAATGGGCTCATAAAATGGCGGCCTAAACGCTCGGTAAAGACAGTAAAATTGAGGTAAGCATACAGTTAACGTTAAATGTATATGTAAAAAAGGCCGCACGGAACCCCTTTTATAAAAACATGTACTGTTCTATAATTGGTTACTTTGTAGCTCTCTCAGTTAAGGCCTGAAAGTCGAAAAACATGTTTTGGGTGATGAGAACAATGGCCGAATAGGTACTAAAATGCGTTGTTTTCAGTAAAAGAAACGCATTTTGAGCAAAATTAGCAATGACATCTTGTGCAAAATTTCAAGTTTGCCCGTCAAGAACAATTTCCTTCCTTTGTTAAGTTGCATAACGAAGTTGTGCATCATTTTAAAAAACGAGTACAATGGTTGAACCAAATTTAATGAGTACAATGGCCGAACGATTTTATTGCCTGTCCTATTTTGTCATTTTTGTCATCGAAATTGAGAAAAATAGGACAGGCAATTAAATCGTTCGGCCATTGTACTCATTAAATTTGGTTCGACCATTGTACTCGTTTTTAGACCCTACCGGTTTAACCGAAGGGGACTTAAGGTTTACCCTCCGTCCATCTATTTGTCTGTCTGTCTGTCAGTCAGTCCGTCAGTCCATCCGTCCACAAAACTGGATCCCGCGATAACGCAAAAAGTACTGAAACTATTTTTATGAAACGTAATATATGGATAGATTGCTGTATGGAGATTATGCACGTCTTTTTCTTTTCTTCCTATGTTGAAAATTCTGGTTGCTATGGCAACAAATATTCTGAAAATATGGCAAATTTAACACATAAACTGGATCCAGTGATATCTCAAAAAGTTCTGAAAATATTTTTATGAAACTTGAAATATAGGTGGATGGCAGTCTGGAGATTATGCACATTATTTCATTCTTATGTTGAAAATTCTGGTTGCTATGGCAACAAAAAGACTGAATTTCAAGATTTCTGATTTAAATTTTTCAGCTTTTTCACTTTAAGTTCTTTATTTCTTAATGTGTTTACTTAAAACTTTAAATATAAGTTTCTGGTCATCAACCACGTCATATGTGACAAGGTTTACAACTCTAGCACAAAAATTATAAGTATTACCTCCCTTGAACTTAGACTTTTATGAAATAAAATCGTCTTTTTTAAATAACTTCTTTATTTCCTAATGTTACTACTTCAAACTTCATATTTATGTTTCTTATTATCACTCAACATTTTTGAGAAGGTTAAATACTCTAGCAAGACTATTTCCAGAATTATGTCCCGCTTGAACTTAGATTTCTTTTCGAGAAATTGGTATTTTTTACTCCAACTTCTTCATTCCTTATAGATTTTACTTTAAAATCCCACAACGTAATAATATGACAAGGTTGTATAAACATAATTTCCTTACTAGACAAGAAATCTTAACACATTACTGTGATATACACAAACATAGAACTCAAAAGATTTAAGTTCATTCATGTCATTCATTCACTGGTAAAATTGAATGGCCAATGGCCCATCAGAATGTTGCTAGGGCTCTAATGATAATTGCTTGTTTGAAATGATGCACAACTTCGTTATGCAACTTTACAAAGGATGGAAACTGTTCATGACGGGCAAACTTGAAATTGTGCAAAAGATGTCATTGCTAATTTTGCTCAAAATGCGTTTAACGTTAATTGTATGCTTACCTCAATTTTACTGCTTTTACCGAGCGTTTAGGCCGCCATTTTATGAACCTATTGTACGATTTTCGTCACGTGATCATCCGCAGTGACTTTGACTCATATGGAAAAAATACAGCTTCAAGAGCATACACTTTTGTCATTTAATATTTTCATTGAATCTTCAACACTTAAAGTAAAGGAATACATCAGACCCAGAAAAATATCAATATAGATTGTTTTAAATCCTTACCATTTTTGGTTGCCAACGTCTTCGTTCGCTCTTTACAATATACTACAACCAGTTATCCTTAAAAATACAACAAAAATGCTTTACGCCAAATATAACGTTTGTAGAAATCTTCAAGTGAATAATACATGATCTTGGGCTTTGTATTTTAACAAATTTTAAGTATGATTTAACCTTTTCCCTTATATAAGCGTGTTTTGACGGCTTTTCACCCTCCCTCCTTTCTGAGGCCTCAAACAGTAAAAAAATGCCCTATTTAGGCCCCAAACACCGTTTTCTTTAGAGAAATGTTATGAAAAAGTGAAAACTTTTTCGGCGCCGTCCCCATCATATAGATACGTCAGGGGGTTGCCAGAAGGGGGATGTGCCCCCTTCTTTTTTGGGGGGAGGGGTTGAAAGGGGCGGCAGTCCCCCTCATCGCCAAGAAAATTTTGGACTTTTAAGAGGCTGAAAATGACCCCAGGTCGATCATAAGGTAACGTGTAGCCAACGCTGACAAGCCTTTGACTCTATCTCAATCCATTGAGAAGCTGCAGCACTCTGAAATTAGTTTTGATGGGAAAAAACAATAGAGAATAGTGATTTTATGGCAATTTTGAGACGCCCCCTAGGTGCCATGGTAACGGGAAATTTTAGATTGAGCATGATGTTACAAAAACTATGGTGAAGTCAACATTTGTGCCAAGTTTCATTAGTATTGAAGCATTTTTCATAGTTTCATAGTAGTTTGAACTTGTAACAGGAGGATTTTCAATGAAAACGGCCACTATTCACAATATGCTCATCAGGGAAAAGGTTAACTTAAAAATGTGTTTTCCTTAATATTTTAATATAAACAAGCATTTGATAGTATTGCGGGCAATACAGTAGTCCCCTACCGGTCCTTCAAAAAGTTCTTTAATTGTCATACACTCCTGTGTATTGCCATTTATAATGAATTTGAGGATGAAGTCTGTATTTGAAAATATCAACCAGAAAACATAATAAAATAAGTTTGTCTATATCACAGTAATGTGTTAAGTTTCCATGCTTAGTAAGGAAATTATGTTTATACAACCTTGTCATATTATTACGATGTGGGATTTTAAAGTAAATCCTATAAGGAATGAAGAAGTTGGAGTGAAAATACCAGTTCAAGGGGGACATAATTCTGGAAATAGTATTGCTAGAGTATTTAACCTTCTCAAAAATGTTGAGTGATAATAAGAAACATATATATGAAGTTTGAAGTAGATACATTAGGAAATAAAGAAGTTATTTAAAAAAGACAACATTTTTTCCCCTAAAAAATCTAAGTTCAAGGGAGGTAATACTGATATTTTTGTGCTAGAGTTATAAACCTTGTCACATATGATGTGGTTGATGACCAGAAACTTATATTTAAAGTTTGAAGTAAACACCTTAAGAAATAAAGAACATATAGTGAAAAAGCTGAAAAATTTAAATCAGAAATCTTGAAATTCAGGCTATTTGTTGCCATAGCAACCAGAATTTTCAACATAGGAAGAAAAGAAAAAGATGTGCATAATCTCCAGACTGCCATCTACCCATATTTCAAGTTTCATAAAAATATTTTTAGTACTTTTTGAGTTATCACTGGATCCAGTTTATGTGTTAAATTTGCCATATTTTCAGACTATTTGTTGCCATAGCAACCAGAATTTTCAACATAGGAAGAAAAGAAAAAGACGTGCATAATCTCCATACTGCCATCTATCAATATATCAAGTTTCATAAAAATATTTTCAGTACTTTTTGCGTTATCGCGGGATCCAGTTTTGTGGACGGACGGACTGACGGACTAACAGACAGACAGACAGACAGACAGACGGACAGACAGACAGACGGACGGAGGGTAAACCTAAAGTCCCCTCCGGTTAAACCGGTAGGGGACTAATAAAGTGACCCAGGGGTTAGCTAATATTGGCCTAAGGGACATATTTAACGCCAACCTTGCTGAGGTTCACAAGGCAATTCTTCATGCTATATGCTAAATACATTTGTACATATAAGTTCGTAGCATTGTAGTTCTACAAAATAAGACTGAAACGTATTTGTCTCACAACTAAGTGACAAAGGGGTGAAGTCAAAACTGACCCATGAGACAAGATTTATACTAGTTTTGTTCAGGCAAACAAGAAGGTAATGCTACATGTAAGATATTCAAACTCTATGAATTGTAGTTTCGCCAAAATAAGACTTAAACGTGTTTTCCTACAAAAAATACTTGACACCTGGGGCAGGGCCATATTGTATCCAAATACTTTTTAAAAACCAGTTATTTTGTTGTCCACAAACCGATGATACATGCGACATATCTAAGCTTTGGGCATCGTAGTTACACAAATAAGTCTCAGATGTGTTTTTCTAAAGTAAGTTTATATATATCAAGTGACCCCTGAGGCGGGTCGTAATTGAACCAAGGGGCATGATTCGAAGTGACCTTGATCTTGACATGATGATAGTCTAACATGAATGACAATGGAAGGAAACAGCAAAATTTAAATGCGCGTTCCTATTGATATCTGGTTTATTTCAAAATTGTTAGTTTGGTAATTAAATAAAAGTATATTACCTTTCCATTACACTTATTTTGACACGAAATTCATTACTTTATAAATTTTATTCATGCTAAGTCTTTTTGATACAATCCGTTTAGATGTTTAAACAAGCCTAATGCTTCCGATGGATCATTTTGTTTCCAGATCTTTATACTTAACAACAGCAGGTTTCAAGTGCTGAGTGGCAGCTGTAAAAAATTGCACCGTACTTCACTTCAGTGTTATTATATTTCTGGTCCTTCGGGATCATTGATGCCAGCACTAAAGTGTTGAGAATTCAGTACCGCTCAAGACAGTGCTAGGGGCGTGACGGATGTTGCACTTATTCATTATCTCTCGTGTACAGACTCAATCAAACCGAGTCTGCAATATTCAAATAATTGCTTATAAAGTCAAGACTGCCTGAGCGACCCCCTGATTTAAACGATTCTCTGTCTTATTCGATCATGTTTAAGGCCGCCCAGCAAATTTCCTATATATACGGTCTCTCTGTCATATTTAACAACCAAATTATTGTTTGGTCTGATTTAAACGCCTTTTACACATTCTATCCATTTATCAGATAAAATAATACTTGCTAAATAATTGAGTCAAATTATTATCCAGAAGTAAGTACTCTTCAAACAAACTCTACACAACTCTGCCTCAATGACATAGTTTACATGTGTGCAGGTAACAAGTGACGTAACGTCTACTCCCTCCTGCCAAAATATGATTAAACATGTTGCAATCGCTGTTTGTAAGAGGTGTTATGTACATTATGACCTGAGCAAACTTGATTAAGATTTATGTCAGATTTTTTATTACTGTTTATGGAGTGCCTACAGAAGATTTGTTTCGGCAGCATGTTTATTCCTCGTGAATACTTCCTGAAAATGTTAATACCAAAACCTTCATCTCAAGATAAAACCATTTGAATATGCATACTTATATTGTTTAAAGTATGTAATTGTTTTCAAGGATTCTAAATGCATCACATTCAAGTTTATTTTTAACCATGATAATGATTTAAAAATAAGACAATTTTATTTATAGGATATGCATGCGATTATATTTGTTTAACATGCATTCTTATTTTCATTTGCATTAAATACTTAAAGTACCAATGTTTTATTGTAATTGGGCAGAATATTTCCTTCAAACGATTATGTCAAATTGGTTTAAAGGTGGTTTAAAATTCTTGAGACTCAATTAAGAGATTCCCTGTTATATGTGACGTTTTATAAAGCCCCTTCAAAAATCACATGACAGTCTCACCTGTATATAAGAGTGATTTGTTAATGTAACTTTTGATCATTACTTAAACTTTCTCTGCAACAAATTTAGATATAAAACGCGAGCTATTAAAGTATAAAAGTTTTCTAATATCGTTTACGATTCTTCGGTTATTTAGTCTACTTGAATAAAATTTTACTTATGTTTTCTCGCACTGATTTTAGAAAAATGAATTTCGACATTTGTATTGAGAATGATAATCTTTTTTATCCAAAAGAAAAAGTCATGAATATATTAAGGCATGTCATACGGGTTTATGTTTGTCACTCTTAACAGCATTATCGACAAAATTATATTTTATGTGCTGTCACGTATGATACTAGATACAGTCAAGATAATTATCCATGGTATAACAGACCTTGCAATTATGGACCGAGTTACTTAAAAAAAAATAAATAAGCAAATCCGATATTTGATTATTTTACCGTTTTATCTTCAAGTGTAATTACATTGGTAATTAAAGAATTTAAAAACAAAATGATATTTACGTCCCGGCAAAGAAGTGAATGATTACTAAAATATAGCATGATAGCATAAAAATAACCTTTTGAATGTCGAATACCTATTAATTCATTGTATGTATTGGTTTAATAAATCTCATTTCAGTAAATATGTCCATTGTTCATACTGTAATTTTTCAACCTAAAAATCGACCCAAATACATGTGTATTGTACACGACTTTTTGGACCAGCGCACCTTCAAAAGAGTTTATTTACGATATTGAGCTCGTTATTTTTCAACTTTTTATTGTTAAAAAACTTGCATTTCTACAAGCAAATATAGATACATGTAGTTTTCTTCACGATGTAAAACAAAATGCCTTAAAGTATTTATGAAAAATGTTTCATTCAATTGAGTCAAAATTATTTCTAAGTATTAAATTTGCAAAACTTTACATTAAGTGTAAAATTGTTCTGTATGTAACGATAACGTTTGTTGTATCTGTACCAATTTCATTCATGAAGGAAATGTCCTGTAATGCAGTTTCTTTGCCTGAATGGCATCTTTTCTTCAATGGATACTGGCCCAACAATGTAACGTTATAATTAAGAAGATAAGAAAGGAGGAGGTTTCACATTAGAATTTAGCACGTGCAAGTACAGGAAAATGGACCGAAATGAATTGGAATAAACAAACTGTGTTAGGAGGGCGTACGCACTGCATATGCCAGCATCTTTGAAAAGAAAAAAAAACTGTTGCAGTGTATTTACACTGGACATTGA